ACTAATATTTATACCATGACGTTCATGGAATATAAAACATCTAAAATTTATATTCTTTATCAACTGGACAAGAAGGCTCGAAGGACACGGCTATGTCCATCATACTATATGGCTAACTGTTTCAGTGCCAATTAGTCTCGTTAGTCTTAAACTATTTGACATGCGGTAATACATACATACCTGTAATACATTACAAACTGAAAGTTCAAATACAATTTATACTGATTCCGTAAATTTGGTAGATCTGTTAAAACTGAATTTATGCCTATCTTCATTCTTTGTTTTTACAATCCACTATAGGCCAGAGTATTCTGTACAGTATTTCTCTAATCTACATCATTATTCTTAAGTCTGCTTCTACTACGTCCAGTCCTCGATTCCACGACTTTCCTATTGGGCTCATGCATATCTTGTTTTCTTTTAAGATTTTGCTTGACTTTACGGTTATACCTCATATCAGCTAATGATTTTGTTAATATATTTTATTAATTTTTTTTAATTATATTTTATTAATATAATTTAGTAACTTGTACATAAGATCACTGAATTTATACAAAACAATAATTTTTGAACTGATTTAGATTTAAATATAGTGACTATATAAGTTTATAGTCCTGAGCTAAAAAATGTATATTTGTTTAGTTTCGCTAGGTCTGTGTAAAGGATATTTAATATATCATCAGCATCATATTGGCGCAAAGGTCCTAGTTGTATCTTGGCCTTCCTATTCAATATATAACAAAATTAAAGCCAACTTCTTTACTTGGTTTTAATAATAACAACAACGTAATTATTCCTAGAACTTCGGATACATTATACAATAACATAGATATCTGGTAAAATATATTAATGTAATGAAGATAAAAATATTAAATTTAAAAATTGTAAATATTTTTTAAAAAATCCAATGTGTGTATATAATATAATATATTATCCAATAAAAACTTACTACTTAAAATCATTATAGAAGTTATTTCAATAAAAATGAATAACCTCTGTTACTGCTGGGGGAGTAATTCAAACAAATATGTTTTTTAATATTTGTAAAATCTGTTTTATTATTTGCAAATATATTTGTATACTATGTATGTGAAATAACATTTATAGATAAATGCATATGGAACCCTGTATGTATAAAATTTGAAGAACCTATGAAAATATAAATACATATATATAAATAGGTATATGTATATGAAAAAATGTAGTTAACATATTTCTTTTAAAACTTAATTTTAAACTGTTTTTTCTTAGTGTTATCTGCTTAATAGTTCCATTTCGTAAGTGCTTTTCTGAAATAGAATATTATTATTAATTTATATTACTAAAGGACAGTTTCCATGATTAATATTCCTTGAAAACTAATCGCCTATTCGTGCTTTTAATATTGTTGATAGTATCTCTAATTTTCAAACATTTTTAATTTATTAACATTTAAAACGCAAGCTTTTCAAATACTAAAAAAAATAGTTCAGTAAAATAATTATTTCTATAATAGAAGTTTTTTTAATTCTGTTTACAATAAACATAGTATATTAATAAAAATAAATGGTATGAATTTGTGATAAAAAAAAACAGAAAAGTTGGAAAATGGGTCTGAAACAATAGCAGCCAATATTTTGTAGAGTCGATCTTTCTTGTTTACTGTATAAATTGATTAAACACTCGTAAAATTTAAAAAAAAAATAATTTCGACTACCGACAAAGACTAGCAACTTTTTATATCAAGTCCAGATATACAAACACGACTTACCTATGCATCAATAACTAGCACAATATATAACCTAACTGACATAATTTCCAACATTCACCTGTTTAATTATATTATTAGACAGACTAACTTTAACCAAATTGATTTCTAATTCCACTATAACTAGCAAAATTCGTGAATAAGTGAATAAGTTGCTAATAAAGGTGGTACTAGTGTTCAATTAGCCGACAGAGATAAATGTAGACCATACAGACGAGACAGTCAAAAGTTCAGGCGAGACAGCTTGCTAAAAGTTCTAGACATTAACCTTTAAGGCGGTCCCCTTTAAGTCTGTTGTACGAATCTCATCCGTGGTATTACGAATGTCCATTATTCATGCCACTCCAATTTAACAGATTATATACTTGATTCTGCAAAACTTCTCGTTTAAATTACATTTGAAAAAAATTACAAAGTGGTAAGTTCCAACGATAGGTCGTACTATACATTACAATGATATCATTTGTTGGTGTTTATTTATATGATCTTTGATTATTCAATCGATTATTCTACTTAGACACAAAAACTATATTAAAGTCACTAAAGCGATCGCAATGAAGAAAATATTTGTGAACTACCAATGATAAATAAAAACTGACAAGTTCCAATAAAAATCGGTATTGCATTTTGAGTTATGGCACTTGTATGTCAAGTCTTATCACAATGACAGCATTATCTCTATGGTATTAATCGTTTATGCAATTGAGTACAACATTTATCTTTATATTATGTTATAAAAATTCTTTGAATATAACATCAAGACTGTATAATAATGTATAATAGATATTTTATATATTAGTAGTAGCTCTTCTTTGATTGAAATTCAAAGTTTATAAATTTTATATTATATATTTTGTTAAAATATAATTTACTGTTGTTCTTCTCTCCTAGTGGAGCATAGAGTCTATTGAAATATAAGTCGATAATGTCAAGTACTCATCATCAGTGGAAATATTCGAATTTTTTTAATTAGTTTATTGTCCATGTATAATTTGTTTGGATTTGGATACAATTTTTTTATTATTTTAGTTAAACTTTATTTTTTTAAAAAATATATATATAAAATAAATTCCTATTTGTTCTTGAACTACATATATAAAAAATCATAAAGTTAATATTTATAAAAGCATTTATTGAGAATTATTTTATTAATTTTTATACATAAAATTTTTATTTAAATTTTTGCAGAAGAATATAGATCACTTATATATGGTATATTAAATTTTATTGAAATATAGAATGATATAATAATTAATTATGTGATAATAAAAATCTTAAACTAATAAGAAACATAAAAATATTTTTTATTTTTATAATTTTGCTTAAACTCAATCTCTTAATTCTTATTCTATTCCTATTTTTTGTTAAACTATGTATATATAAAAAATCATAAACTAACATCTTTTTCTTAACTTTTTATTTACAGAAATCACAATAAGTACTCAGAAGACACCACATCCCGTGATAGTGATTCTCTCATTCAAGAGTACGGCAACCTACCCACAGATGAAACGAATACATACTGCTGGCGACATCCCAAGGTGCGTGAAAATTGGCGAACTGTCTTGGCGGCCGTGACGTTACTGCTTGTGGGTACCGGCCTTTTTGTGATGGGCACATTAGCTGTATCTAAGCCGGAAAACACTTCGCAAGGAGTTGTTTTCTTTGTAGCCGGCCTCATTTGTTTCATACCCGGCGCATATCATGTGGTGTACATTTGGCTGGCTGCCAAAGGATACCGAGGCTTTGATTTTTATCATCTACCGTTGTTTACATAAAATCACACTTACACCCCAATGAGCCTGAACTATGTTGCAGCGACAAATTGTGTCGAAGGTATGGAGCAGTGAATATGGCACACGGAATCGTTTCGAATTTCTTTCTATTATTATTTAAGGAAACATCATTGTACTATCATTATTTAAGTTAGAATTCGAAATAATTATTATTTTTACTATCAGCAATTTTGCATGTTTCATTTGGTTTGTTTGATTAATTATTATTGTTTTATTGCTTTACTTTCAGACATAAACATCAATCAAACAAATCAAAATAATCGAATTAGAAGAAATTAAATACGAAAATAATAATAAACACGAAGATTATATATCATTATCGTAACTATTACCATTATTAATTTAGGCAGAAAACTTTTATATATGATTATATTTTACATATAATATATAATAAAAGGTTTACTTCTTTAGCAAGCTAAAAATAAAAGAGAAAAATATTCAGATACATAATATAGACTTAATATTTTTGATTTAATGTATCTGTAATAGGCAAGTAAGTTTCTGAGGACGATGATATTGAAATTTTTAACATAACGAAAGACTTTTTTTTTTATAAAATAGTATAGAATTAAAATAAATATATAAATAAATTATATTTCATTAGTAATTCCTAAGAAGTTTGTGTATTAAAAACATGTATAAAAATTCTGTTTATATACATATTACTTATATGTATATGTATATATGTATCTCATTTCCTTAACATTTAATATTTATTTATGTTTTCCAAAATGGAGACTTGCATCTTTTGCTGAATCTTTATTGTAATTCCAAAGTCTAAATGAA